GGATGTGATGCGTTTAGCAGAGGGACGCCAGAGAGAAAGGGACTCCTGAGACCGCGGCGTTGCACCTGAGACTCCGCAGTGCGAGCGGAAGCGCCGCGCAACGACCCTGCGGCGGAAGCCGAGCGGACCTGAGACATCGGCATCGCCCGTCTCAAAAGACCCTTCCCTGGGGCCCCCTTGGGAACCACATGAGGATGAGCTGGGGGGGAAGCAAGTGATGGGCCAATTTTCCATCACCACTACCATAGGTAGAAGAGGGAGAAGCCAATTTTCCACCACCACTACCATAGGTAGAAGAGGGAGAAGGAGGAGGACGAGAAGGAGGAGGAGGAGGAGGAGGAGGAGGACCTCCTCATCCTCCCTTCCCCCCCGTCTACATGTGGCAGTGGTGGTGACAAGCTGCCCATCAGCAAGGGGGGGGCCTCCGAGGTGGGAGCTGCGCCACCGCTCGCCCGCCCTGCGCTCGGCCGGCCGGCGCGCCGCGCGCTCTGTCGTGCACGCGCCGGCCATCCGCCGGGGCTTCGACTTGACGATCCCCGCGGGCCTCCGCACACCTTGGTGGTCTCCAAACCAGGTGGTGAGACACCCGGTGGTGACCCCGATTCCCCCCCAAAAAAAAATTCTGGGTCACCACCGGGTTTGGGGACACGCGGTCGCCACGAGGTTTTGCGTTTCCTCGGCCAGCCAGCGCTCGAAAACCATTACCCAAATCGCCCAAAACTCACCACCGGGTGTTCTCACCACCACGTTTGGGGACCACCAAACACCCCAGACCCCCCCGCGTCGTGAAAGCTCGCCGGGGGACGGCGGAGGGCCGAAATTCGAGGTTGGTGGCGTTCACCCCTCGTGGCCACGGGAGCCGCCTCGCGGTCCTGGCCAGAGCGCACCCCAGGTCCAGGGGTCGTCTTTCGACCCCTAGGTCCAAAGACATCCTTGCGTCGTGGCAGAATTTCGACGGAAGGCTTTTGGCCGTTTTGGGCTTCTTGAGGCCGTCACCTCGGGCCTCAGGGCCGTCAAGAAACGACGCAACGTGAGAAAACCGGACCTGGGGAAGCAGTCGAGGCCTCTGGGGGTCCCACGCTGCGAAAAAGAACACGACGGCGGGGGTCTGGGCCCAGCGCAATCTATGTACAGTCCCCGAGAGCTCCGTGCTTCCCTGGGGCGGGGGGCGAGGGCAAGAGGAGGGAGGACAAATTATCGAGGTTCGAGGACAGATTTTTTGTCTTTCAGTCGCTGCTTTTTTTTTGTTTCCAAATTTGCCGAACTCCAGGGAGCCTAACCTCCAACACAGATCGTCGCTCCACCACTACTTCTTTCTCTTCCTCTTCCGCCTAGGGTAACTGCCTTCGCGCTCCGCGCTCCGCGAAGCGCGATTACCTTCGCGTGGTCGCGCCGCCCCCGCCCCCCCCTGGAACAGGATGAGGGACTCGCGCCTCGCTCTGGCATCGCCCATGCCGCGAAGCGCGAAGCGCGACCAGTCTCGCACCCTCGCGGCGGTCCTTACCCCGTGGGCCGCCCGCTGGCGGACCTCCTGCAGCACGCCGCGGGTCGGGCCGCATCGCTCTCCGCGGCCTCCTCGGGGCAACTCTCAGGTCGGGCGTGTCCCCCAACAGGCGGATCTGGGACCCAAAATAAAAAATACCCAACACAATGCTCAACAGATGTTCAAAGATGATCAGAAATCGTCCCCATACTATTTTTTGACTAATTTGGAATACTCCCCCGTGCAGAGGGACAGGCTCGGGGACGCACTGACCCGGGTCAATGCAAACCTGGGTCAGTGAAGCCTTACAAGATCCTGCAATATCCCGCACCCAAACCAGGGTCAAAGCAAAGGATCCTGCAGGATCCTGCACCCAAACCCGGGTCAATGCGACCCTGGCCCTGCAGGATCCTGCAAGATCGGGCGCTCTGGCTGACTCCCGTTTGCATTGACCCCCGTCCCAAGGCTCCCGACAAGCCCGACTTTTTTTTCTAGAAAGGATGAGCACCGCCAATGACCAGCTGTAATGTCGTAGGCGCAAGCCGAAAGTTCTGACGTGTTCCAGAATGCGCGATCGAAGCACGGCGCAAGAACTCTGGCGTAAATCCAAAGCATTCTCCGTGCAGAAGGAATACCGGCCCGAGCGACAATGACATCTGCGGAGCAAGAGATCGCGCTGAGCAAAAACTGTCGCGCAGTTCTGCACGGGAACGCCGCTCTCCCGACAAGCCCGACTTGAGGCAACTCCGGCGGCCTCCTCGGGGATCTCGGGGAGACCTCCGAGAGACGGCGGGGGCGGCCCGACGAGCAGAGCCATGGGGGAAGGGGAGGGGCGAAGGGAGCAGCGCGGGCGGCACCCGGGAAGCCGACGGGAGCGGCCAGGACTCCGCCCACACACCTCCACTCCGTCTCCTTATAGATGCCTCCTCCCTGTCGCACCCGAGGCGCGTTCCCGCCTCCTCCTTCCTCCTCTCCCCCCTCCCCCTCCTCCCTCCTCCTCCCTCTCCTCCCTCCTCCCTGCGTTTCACCCACCCATTACAGCGCTTCGTGGCTCCATAGGGAGCTCCAGCAAAGGCCCCAGTGGCAGGGTCCGCATGCAGTTCCACCTCCATTTCGGCGCACCTCTCACACGTTTCGTGGCCCCATAGGGTGCTCCACCCAAGGCCCCAGTGGCAGGGTCCGCATGCAGTTCCACCCCCATTTCGGCGCACCCCTCACACGTTTCGTGGCCCCATATGGTGCTCCACCCAAGGCCCCAGTGGCAGGGTCCGCATGCAGTTCCACTTTAATTTCGGCACACCCCTCACACGTACCGTGGCCCCATAGGGTGCTCCACCCAAGGCCCCAGTGGCAGGGTCCGCATGCAGTTCCATCCCCATTTCGGCGCACCCCTCACACGTTTCGTGGCCCCATAGGGTGCTCCGCCGAAGGCCCCAGTGGCAGGGTCCGCATGCAGTTCCACCTCCATTTCGGCGCACCCCTTCCACGTTTCGTGGCCCCATAGGGTGCTCCGCCCAAGGCCCCAGTGGCAGGGTCCGCATGCAGTTCCAATCCCATGTCGGCGCACCTTCACACGTTTCGTGGCCCCATGGGTGCTCCGCCGATGCCCCAGTGGCAGGGCCCGCATGCAGTTCCACCCCCATTTCGGCGCACCCCTCACACGTTTCGTGGCCCCATAGGGTGCTCCGCCGAAGGCCCCAGTGGCAAGGTCCGCATGCAGTTCCACCTCCATTTCGGCGCACCTCTCACACGTTTCGTGGCCCCATAGGGTGCTCCGCGGAAGGCCCCAGTGGCAGGGTCAGCATGCAGTTCCATCCGTATTTCGGCGCACCCCTCACACGTTTCGTGGCCCCATAGGGTGCTCCGCCGAAGGCTCCAGTGGCAGGGTCCACATGCAGGTCCACCTCCATTTCGGCGCACCCCTCACGCGTTTCGTTACCCCATAGGGTGCTCCATTCAAGGCCCCCGTGGCAAGTCCGCATGCAGCTCCCCCTCCATATCGGCGCACCCCTGAGGGGTGCGCCGATATGGAGGTGGTCCACTTAGGGCCCCAGTGGGAGGTTCCGCATGTAGTTCCCCCTCCATTTCGGTGCACCCCTTCCACGTTTCGCGGCCACCAAAGGCCGTGGTGGCAGCGCCCGCACGCGGTTCCACCCTGCATTTCGGCGCACCCCTCACGCGTTTCGTGGCCTCAGATGGGGCTGCACCGACGGCTCCTGTGGCAGCGTCCGCATGGCGTACCCGTGCCAATTTTGGCACACCGGTCACACGCGTCGTGGTCTCAGAGGGAGGTTCACCGAGGACGATACCCACACCTGCGTTACACACAGCTGCACATGGTTGGGCCCTTCGCCAGGATAATTAAGGCGGGCAGAGGCGTTTCGCCTGAGACTTCCTCACTATTTATGATTCTGAAGCCTAAGAAGTGGCAACAGCTTCACAGATGGAGGGCGGGTCGTTTTCAAAATGTGGCTCTCGCCTTAGCGCCGGGCACATTCGTTTTACAAATTTGCCAGGGTTTTGCGCGGATTGAGGGCGGTTCCTTTACGGATTCCCATGATCAGCGTACCAGAAATTGTGTTTTGGAAGGGTTCAGGATTATGCGAGCGCAACAGTTATGTGAATTCGCTGTGTCGAAGTCCCAAAAATGGCGTTCTGGCGCGAGTCTGGATCGTCAAGACGCAGCAGTCATGTTGATACGTGGCGTTGAAATCCCGAGAGCAATGCTTTGACACGCTTCAGGATATTCAAAGTGTTGTCTTCCAACGAGGCAGTTCCCTCAATGGAAATGAACCGCTGTAGGGGCCTATGAAGAGGGAGATTGGACGGAGGGTTAATTCCAGCATCGTTGATGACTCTTGGGTTTCCACTGGTCCTCGTCCTCCTCCTCCTCCTCCTCCTCCTCCTCCTCCTCCTCCTCCTCCTCCGCCTCCTGCTGCTGCTGCTCCTCCTCCTCCCCCTCCTCTGCGGGTTAGGTTGCCTGACTGGCGTTCGGGCGGTTCCGTCGGTTCGTGGAGCTTTTCCTGCCTCGGAATGCGTTCCAGCAGCCAGCAGCTGCGCTTCGCCGAGAGCAGCGTTCCAGGGCTGCCGAATCGTCCCGAACAGCCGCCGGATAATTACCCGAACTATGACCCGAAGGCCAAAGGGAGGATCGGATTCCTCGTCCTCCTCATTCGCCGTTCAAAGGGAGACGGCCGATGTAGCCGACTAGGGTTCTATTCGGTCGAGCGATATGGACATCTTCTAGCGCCAAGGTCGATCGAGCCTCCCGTCGTACCAGGGCAGCTGGGACCAAATGAGAACGGAGCATCCACCTCCATTGCATCGGCTTCATCGCCCCCTTCAGGTCCTGCCATCCTGCCGCAGGGGCTGAAAACTCGAGGTCACCATCCCCTTCCTAGAGCTCCGAAGCTGCGAGGCCGGCGGCGGTGGGGGAGGAAGGAAACGGAGGGAGGAGGGCGGCCGGCCACGTGGCCAGCGGCATGAATTAGGGGGCGTCCGCTCCCCACGGCTGCGCTCACCCCGCGCAGCAGCCGCTCTGTGGGCTGGCGGTCTCGTCTGGCAAGGCCAGCTTCCGCCTGCGGGGGGGGGGGGGGGGGCACGCGCGGCGCGGGCCCCGGCGAGCCAGGGGGGCGGCCCCCGCAGAAAGGCACCGGGGCCCCGCGGGGGGCCTCCCTCGAAGGGCGCGGAAGGTTCCCGGGAAGGCCTCTTCTGGGGGGCGGGGGGGGGGCTCCGCGGAAGCCCCCGTGCCTTCCTGGGAGGCTGGCCGCCTCGCCTGCTGGCCCCCCCCCCCCCGGAGATCCGACGTTGCAGACGAGCTGCAGCCTCGCAAAGAAGCGCGACCGGAATCCTTGACCCCGCTGCCTGGGTCCTTTCTTCGGGGGCGCCCCCATGCTGGGTGGTGACCACACCGTGCGGTGAGTCGGCGGGGATTGCACGGTCTTGGGACTCGGGTCGTTCTCCGAGGACGTCTCGGGCGATTGGGGCCTCCGAGGTCCCAACACCGCGCGTTGACGGACCGTGCGGTGAGGTCTTGGGGGGGCTCGAGGTCACCGCACGGTCTGTCACAGCACCGTTCCGGGACTCAAAGTTTTTCGAGCCCACGCGTGGCCCACGCGCGGGCCTGCATGCTCGGGCGTGGCCCACGCGCGCCCCCCTCACAGCCGGAGCCCTGGGCCCCATCTTCCTGCGGCATGCCTCGCGCCGGATCGATCCGTGAGGGTGCCCCGGGGCTCGCAGCCAGGCAGGAGGTGTCGCCCGCTCTGGGCAAGAGGTGGCGCCTGGATGCTGCAGGGTCCAAGATGCCACCCGGCCGAAGGGCCACTCTTTGGCCCGAGAGGAAACGAAATCGCCTGGCTCGAAAAACTGCAGTGTACCAGCCTGGAACGTATCCCTGTCCCTATGTTGATCATCGCCTCATCACGATGGCGATCTTAGGGATTTCCTTCGTTTCCGAGGGTGCATCCCCAAGATTGCCATCTCCTCTCAGCGTGTCAATCTTAGGGATAGGGATAAGTTCGAGGCTGGTGAGCAGTCGCCAGAATCTCCCCAGACCCCTCGCGTCATGCACAAATCACGACGGGAGGTTTCTCGCTTGTCTAGGTCCAGATCTGGGGCCTCCCCCCTACCGGACCTGGGGAGAGCGTCAAAACACACCGCAGGACGATCAACGGGTCCCGTGGGACTGGGCCCAGACCTCTGCTGCGTGTCGACGCCGTGAGAAAATCACGACGTCGGGGGTCTGGGTCAGGGCCCCCCCCCGCGCGAAGCCGAGCCTGAGCTGGACGGAGGCGGCGCCCTTCGCCGGCACGGAGCCGTCCTTCGTCTGCTTGCTCAGCACCACGTCCCGAGCGATCGCCTCGAAGGCCTGCTGCACGTTCAGGCCGGACCTCCCCAGAGGGGTCACGAAGCTAGTCATAAATACGATTGAGAAAATCATCGATTAAGAAAGCGAGGCCAGCTTTCCAGAAGTTTCGTAAGGAAACGCCGGGCCAGCTTTTGGAGCCAAGAACGTACACTATTCATTTCTAGGATCCAAAGCTACCAATCCCCGTAAGAAACTGAGCCAGCTTTCCGGCAAGTTGGTTAAGAAACGCTGGGCCAGCTTTTCGGGGGGAGGTTTCTTAATCATAAGCGGGGCAGTACAGGCGGAGGGGCAGAGAAGGACGAGGGCCTGGAGGGCGGGGACGAGACGGAGGAGGAGGAGGAGGAGGAGGAGGAGGAGGAGCAGGAGGAGGAGGAGGAGGGCGGGAGGAGAAGGAAGAGAGAAGGGGCGGAGGCGAGGGGAAAACCGAGGATGAGAAACGAGAATCAGGCTGAGATGAAGGGGAAGGCGGCACGGGGAAGAGGAAAATATTAAGGAGGGAGGAAGGATAATGCGGAGAAGAGAACAGGGAGGAGGAAGGAACGGGGATGGCGAAGCGGACAGGTCGACAGAGAAAGAAAGAGAGAGAGAGCGAGAACGAGAGAGAACTGCACATAGAAATCCGCCGACCACTTGTGGTGACGGCGTGTGAGATGCTTCCCACTCCCCAAACCCCCTCCCCCGCGGGCCCGGTCCGGCCGGTTTGGAGGGGGGGGGGGGGGGGGCAAAGGTGTCGGCTGCACACTTCGAGCCTCAGGAGGCCTCAAAACAGGCCAAAAAGGTTCAAAAGGGTCCTAGATCGGTCCAAGAGAGCTACGAGTCGACGAAAGATCGTTCCAAAACCCCAGCTTGCCTGCAGACGATTCCCCATAGGCCCCCGAGACGTTTGACAAAAACTACTACGAGGCGTTCCACGAAGGCCTCCAAAAGCCATAGCAACGGCCCGGGAGCGCCGCAGGACAGTCTCAAGAGGGCTCTTAAACGGATCAACAGGGTCCCCAAAGGCTGCCCAGACGGCCCACGCGGGGGACGATTCGGTCCAAGCCGCCCAAGATTGCATCCAGACGGCCCCATAGGCCCCCAAGACGTTTAAAAACGCATCCACGAGGTGCTCCAAGAGGGCCTCCAAAAGCAAAAATCTCCCCATCCCCGAAGAAAACATACATTTTCAGTACATTCGCTTCTTGGGCTTCCACGAGGCCTACAACGGCCAAGTGCACCTCCAAGTTCAACCCCCGACACCCCAAGAGGTTCTCAAAAAGTCTCCACGACGGCTTCCGGGCGCACCATTAAGGCCTTAGAAGCCACGGTAACGGCCCAGGACAGTCGAACGACGGCCCCACGAGAGCCCCACAACGGGCCAAGAGGGTCCCCAAAGGCCTTCTGGACGGCCCACGGGGGAGACGATTCGGTCCAAACCGCCCCAGCTTGCCTGCAGACGATTCCCCATAGGCCCCCGAGACGTTTGACAAAAACTACTACGAGGCGTTCCACGAAGGCCCCCACAAGCAAAAATCTGCCCACTCTCTAGGGAAAACATACATTTTCAGTACATTCGCCTCTTGGGCTTCCACGAGGCCTACAACGGCCCAAACAGCATCCAACATCGACCCCCCGCAGCCCCAGAGGCTTTCAAGAGGGTTCCAAGACGGCTTCCGGGCGCCGCGCGAAGGCCCCAGAAACCATAGCAACGGCCCTGGAGAGCCGCAGGACGGTAGTAAGAGGGCCCAAGACGGGCCAAGAGGGTTCTCAAAAGGCCCCCTGATCGGCCCATGTCGTTCAACAGTGCCCCAAGTCTTCCAACATTGCCTCTCGACAGCCCTACAGGCCCCCAAGACGCCTCAAGACGCTATCCAGAGGCGTCCCAAGAAGCCTTCCAACCTCGATGGAAAAAACATATTTCCAACACGTTCGCCTCTTGGCCTTTCACGCGGCCCCTGAGACCCCTTGCTCGCCCCAACACGCCACCAGGACGCGCCCAAGAGGCCCTCCACAAGCAAACATCGGCCCGTTCCCTAAAGGGAAACGTTCAAGTTTAGCACATTCGCTTCTTGGCCTTTCACGAGGCCCACAGCAACCCAAGAAATCCCCAAATCAATCCAAGGACACCCCATAGTATGCCTCCAAGAGGGCTCCCAGACGGCCCAAAAGATCCCCGAGAGGGCCCCCGCAGCCACCGAGGAGGGCCCCAGGACGGCCCCGAGGGGCTCCCCCGACGGCCCCAAAGGGCCACGACTCGCGAGGAGATCGCTTCGAAACGTCCGACATTGCCTCCGCACGGCCCCAGAAGCCCCCCTGCACGCCCTGGCACGCCGCAAGGGCGCGCCCCAAGAGGCTCCCAGAAGCAAGCCTCGGCCTGCTTCCTACGGGAAACGCCCAAGTTTAGCACTTCCGTTTCGAGGCCTGTCGCGCGGCTCGCAGCAGACCCGCGAGGCCCCCTAGACCTTAGTGGGCCCTGGAAACGACAGGGCCGTTTATTTTACCGTTTTCGTTTTGCGTTTTTTGTTGCCGGTTCCGACGCCGTGTTTTTACCGGTTCCGTCGCCGTTTTTTGACCGGCTCCAATCCTGGAGCCGTTTTTGTTGCCTCAACGCGCAACCAGGACGCGCCCCAAGAAGCCAGGCAGAACAAAACCTCGGCCCGCTACCGAAGGGAAACGTCTAAGTTGAACAGGTTCGCTTCTTGAGCCCTCACGAGTCCCACAGCAATCCAAAAAGCCACCAACATCAACCCAAAAGCCCCCGCAGGGCGCCCTGGGCGGCTCGGCCTCCACCTCCTTGCCTATGGTTCCTCCTCCTCCTCCTCCTCCTCCTCCTCCGCCTCCTCCTCCTCCTCCGCCTCCTCCTCCTCCTCCGCCTCCTCCTCCTCTCCTCCTCATCTTTCTTCTCCTCTCCTCCTCCTCCTCCTCCTCCTCCTCCTCCTCCTCCTCCTCCTCCTCCTCCTCCTCCTCCTCCTCCTCCTCCTCTTTGTCAGAAAAGGGGGCTGACTTGGCCGAAGTCTCGAAGAACCCGATCCCGTACTCCTCCGCCAACTCCCGGCCTCGCTCGCTGCCGACTGCCCGGTCATCGCAGTCGGCCTGGCAGGAGGATGTGGGGGAGCAGAGGGAGGAACTGGAGGAGGGAGGGGGAGGAGGAGAGGTAGGATGATAATGAGGAGGAGGAGGAGGAGGACAAGGACCAGTGTGAAGCCAAGAGTCATCAACGATGTTGGAATAAACTTTCTCTTCGTAGACCCCTACAAGGATTCATTCCCACTGAGGGAACTGCCTCGTTGGAAGACAACTGTTCGAATACCCTGAAGCATGCGAAAACAGTAGTCTCCGGACTCCAGCGCAACGGATCAATTTGACTGTTGCGTCTTGACGATCCTGAATCGCACCGTAGTGCCATTCATGGAACATCAACACCGCGAACCAACGTAACTGTTGCACCCTCAGAATCCGGAATCTTTCCAAAACCCGTTTATTGGTACGTTGATAATGGAAATCCGGAAACCTCTTGCAATGTTGTTAACACACGGAATGCGCGCGGCGCTAAGGCGAGAGCCACATGCTGAAAGAGAACCACACTCAATCCGTGAAGCTGTTGCAACAGTTGAAAACGAATGTTCGCGGCGCTATGACGAGAGCCACATGTTGAAAACCACCCGCCCTCCATGTGTGATGCTGTTGCCAACTTAACTTTTAAGCTTCAGGGTCATGAGTGGTGAAGAAGTCTCAAGCCAAACGCCCACCCTTTCGACCGGCCTCGGGGTGCGACAGGGAGAACTTACACAGAAGGAACAGGAATGGAGGATGAGGGGGAGGGCGACGTCGATGTTTTTGAGAGTGGTATATGGCAGAAGTGGCAGAAGGAGGAGATGGGGAGGATCACAGTCCCCGTGGTGGGGGGGAGGAGGTGAAGGATGGGGAGGAGGATGGGGAAGAGGAGGAGGAGGAGGAGGAAGAGGAGGAGCAGGAGGAGGAGGAGGAGGGGGAGGAGGAGGAAGACGGACGGCGGCGTCTAAACGACACTAGCGCCACTAGGAACAGGAACAGGAGGAGGACGAGAGGGAGATTGGGATGGAAAGCAATAGGAACAACGGGATGAAGAACACTGGCGGGCTTTTCACGAGGCGGCGGTGGCGGCGCGCCGAGGCGAGGTCACGTCAGGCAACTGCGTCGATCAGTCATAGTTCGACCATGCCCCACACCAGACTGCCAAGAACAGGCTTTCACTCCACCCCCGCCCCCCTCCCGCTGTGGACAGAGGTGCGTGTGTGGGTAGTTCCCATGCGTGGTCAAGCATCGAAGTGCGCGCGCTTGCGCGCAGCCCGCCATCCCGCGCGCCCCATCTCTTTGCCCCTACTCCTCCTGCCTTTCATCATCCTGCTCTTCCTCCTCCAATTCTTCCTCCCCTCCTCCCCGTCAGCCCCCCGGCTTCCACTCCCATCTCCCCCTCCCCTCTCCCCCTCCACGACGTCCGCCTCCTCCTCCTCCTCCTCCTCCTCCTCCTCCTCCTCGTCCCCCGTCCGCCTCTTGATTCTCCCCCGCCCCCCCTCCACCTCCCCTCCCTGCACCCCGCACCTCCACCTCCACTTCCTCCTCCTTCTCCTCCTCCTCCTCCTCCTCCTCCTCGTCCTCCTCGTCCTCCTCGTCCTCCTCGTCCTCCTCGTCCTCCTCGTCCTCGTCCTCCTGCTCCTCTTGCTCCTCCTCCTCCTCCTCCTCCTCCGACCGCCTTGTTCCCCACGAGGAGTCTGCTGGTGCCCTGGGCCGCGTGGGCGGATATCTGTGC